AAGCAGGTTCTGCACAGTCAGCACAGAGCCCAACATGGGGCTTGAACCCATGAACCATGAGATCATGACCTGAGCCGAAATCAAGAGCTAGATGCCCAACTGACTGAGCCACCCAGGTGCCCCTCCTTCCTTTTCTTTAATAATTATTTTAAAAACTTAAAAAAATTAAAAGAATTCTTTGAAATCTTAAAAAATCATTCTAGCTTATAGGCTGTACAAATAGTGCATGAGCCAAATTTGGCCCCAAAGCTATAGTTTGCCAACTCTGAGCTAGTTGAAACATTTAATTTTATAGGTGAGGTGACAAAGAGACATACAGGTTTAGTGAGGTGCCCAGGGGTCACCTGGCTGGAGACTGACAGAGCTGGGCTAGACCCAAGGTCTCCTCATCAATATTTCCTTCTTACCATGGTTCAGTATCTTGGATACTTGCCAATTGTGGAAATAGTTACTTACCTATTTAAAGTCCAAGTAGGGCCACTTAAAGGGCTATTGGAGATTGGGACAACAGGCTTGTTTCTCCCCTCCTGTGCCTGTCCTCATTAATCATTTCTGTATATAATTATTCATTGCCTTAGTCCACAGAGTATTTGAAGTTGTATACAAAAGCACAAATAACCGACAATAATTAAAAAAAAAATTGAAGCAATCACACGAGGCACAAAATAAAATAAGGAATAATAATGTCAAGAAAATGATTAGCAGTGGGTTGTAAATTTTGCCTTGAACGGCTAAGTACTTATTGCAGAGTGAGATTCATGTTAGTCACAAAAGCCTGTGTCCAAAAGATTAAAAAGAATCAATTGTTGGTTGCAACACACATTTTCCTAGTTTTGAGATTTGAGAAGCAATTCCCCCAGGAGCTGCACATGAAGAGTACACTATGGGACAGAGTGACCCAGGCTGCCCAACTAAGCTGGATAGAACTGTAGGAACCTGGGGGGTTGCTCAGATTCTGGGGAACCCCATTTCTTTTGTCTCCAAGATTTGAGAGTAGGGATTCTCAGACTTTGACTAACATTTTAAGAAGCCTGATTTCTAACCTCTTACCAGACATCAGTGTCAGACCTAACTTCTAGGTCTGACAGCTGCAGGGAATAGACCTCCCTGCCCTCTGACCTCTAGCCTCACTGTCGCTCTAAGGTTTGAGATAACGAGAAGAAGGAAAGTGGGGCAGGTGGTGGCCACAAGAGCGTCCTCCCACCCCTCTGGCAGTGTGACCTAAGCCTGTCTCACTCTCCTTGTGGGCTGAAGACTCTAGGAGCCAGACCCCATCAGAAAGACCAGCTCCAAAGTGGAAGAAGAAGGATAATACAATCTGGGCCCCACCGAAGACTTCCACATCAAAGCAATTCTTACATGGCAGAGGCTTCACTGCCACACATAGATTTCATGCAAATTACCAAACGCTCCGTACATAGTAGGTACATAATGTTACTGGATTTCTTGTCCACTCTGCCCTGATGTCCACCTCTTTCCAATGTGGCTGAGGATATTCAATGCTTCAAGACAACATTTATGTAAGTTTTCACCTAGTCCAGTTGACGGTCCATCATCTTGCCGTCTGATGAGACGAAGGCCTGTCTTAGGTTGGTAGGACAACATGCACATCTGGAAGCATCTGAGCTCTTCTTCCTGAGTCTTTTCCATGAACACACACAGTCTCCTCCTCTTTCCCTGGCCTGCTTCCTCCTCAGGGGACATTGGCTTATTCCTTTCTTTGTTCTGCTTTCTCAAGCTAGGTGCATGCAAAATCCCTCATCCTAACCCAAGGTACTCACCATTTCAGAGCCTTTCTGTCCTCTGAGCTCTCATTTTCTAAGCACTGCTTTACCCCATCTGCTCCTTCTTGGAACCATAGTCCTTAATTTACCTTCCCCATCTGGGTGTCTTGCAGTTTCCCTAAGAGCTACACCTCAAGTTACACCGTGCAAACAAGCTGGGAATGATAATAGGGGATAGTCACTCCTTCGGTGCGTATTTGGTGAGCACATTTAGGGGTCTGGGAATACAGTGGCAAACAAGATAGGAGCTAGTGATCAGCTTATAATTGTAGAGAGCACTGTTCATTGAAGTATTTTCATGCTTGTACATTTAATTATCCCCCCTATTAAAGAAGGGGAGTAATGGGGATTTGACTTTAATTTACCGTCTCCACAACATACACTCACTTCTTTGGGTATCCCTCTTTTCCCATTAAACACCTGGTCCTCCAACAGTCTTTTGTGATATTCCGGGATATTCACAGTGTAACTTAATTTCCACACGTAGAATGGAGGGCATCATCTCTTGCCAACATAATCCTTGTCAGCAAGTGGGAAAAGGATTAGGGAAGGGAGGCCTTCCAGCACAGCAAAAATCCAGCTTATGTCAATGGCTGGATTTTACAAGATCTTCTTCATTTTGTTCATGTTTTTTATTTCATAATTATTACCACATAAGAGGCTGATTTTTTTTTTAATTGAGCGGACCATGGCCTGTGGAATTAGGCAAGCCTGTGTTGAAATCCGATTCTGGTGTATTCTTGCTATGTGGTTTCAGCAAGTACCTTGACCTTTCTCCTCCTCTATGGCCTTATCTGTGACGTGAGAAATACGAATAGCTACCCTAATGCTTGTGGTAAGGAAAAGTAAATAGTCAAGCCTAGCATGGGATCACTGTTCAAGAAATAGTACCTATTATGATTACTCACTGTAGAATTCTGACTTGCATTTTGAGGGAGTGATGATTATTTAAGCGTCTGCAGCTCAGTACTGATTTGGTATCAGATGAATGCTTGATGATTCTCTGTAAATGCCTGAATATGAATGATTAGTCAGTAGATGTTCAGGTTAGTGGAGGAGAGGAAGGAATCTTTTCCTTCTAGGGGGAATGCACACCCACAGTCACGTTAAAAATGAAAGAACATTTGACATTGTAAAAGTCAAAGCCCCACAAAGCCACTGTTGGTATTTCATCTTGCGAAATGTCTAGTTTGGGCTTCATATTCTCACACTGTCTAATCTTTGTACTCTGGTATAAGATAAGGAAATAGCTCATGGGATATGGACCACAATAATAATTGCATTACATTTATATGCCAGCTCGATGGGGGTGAAAATAAAGATGTTTGTTTCAGCTCAGCATTATCGTACATGATTTGTATTACTGACATCACAGCTCCAACGTTCAAAACCAAGCTTGGAAATTTGCAGATGCCACTAAATTATGGGGAACAACAAATAATGAGGTGCAGTGCATTCTGATGGAGGAGAATTTTTCTCATTTGGGCACCTCAGGCTAGCAGAGAGCTAATGGATGGCAAATACAGTTTGGTGTAGATAAATGTTGAATAATGAGTTTTGAAACACAGACTAAAGAGAGGGAATGCCTCATGAATTAGAAGTGCTTCCATACAATGAATCAGAGAAGGCTGGTGAGTTATTAGAGGGGACGGTCTAAACTGAAAACTCTTAAGTGTTCACCCTTTGCAGAGAATAGCAGAAGTGGTCACCAGAAGGCCGCTTTGGGCAATCGGCATTTCACAGAGTGGAGGGAGCAGGGGCTTTGAGTCAGGCCTACGTGAATTTAATGTCTGCTCCGTCATTTTAAAAACTCACACGATTTGGGACAATTCTATTCATCTAGACAAACCCTATTTCCCTCTCTGAAAATAGGAATAGTGATATCTACCAAGGCTGTTGGTATGGTGTCAGTTTCACAGTGTGCAACGTGCCTCAGCTGAGGGGGCACATTGGTTACAGGATAGATTTGTACCTTTATTACAGCAGTGTTCTTGCAGATGGATCCAAAGCTTTATTTTCTTAATCAATATATTATAAAGCATTCCAAATAAGTGGAGGCATGGGATGTTGACAAGGGCTGCTCTTTTTCTTCCCACCGTAGGAGGGAACTGATGGGAGCCCCAAAGATGACATAGTTCCAGGAACAAGGAGGTACACAGTGAGGGGCCAGTTTGGGAGTGAAATGTGGGCACAAGCTCTAGTGGGCACCCCTTTAGGATTGACATTGCCCACCAATAAGATGGTGGCCTCACCAGGGATTCACGTGGAACTATGGGATTTGACGGGGTAAATGAACCCATCAAGGGCCACGAGGCTAATCAGCCAGGTAGATACTGCCCTCCTCCTCCACAATCCTATTGTTAAAATGCGTCAGTGCAATTGTCACATTAGCTGTCTGGTCTTTCCCTGATGTGTGTGAGCTGCTTGTAAGGATGAGGGCAGATCTCAGTGTCCCCGTTTCCACAGGAGAGTGCCTGAACATATTGGATACAGGGTTCCTTGTTTCCGAATGAGTCATGAATGAATCTCTCTTCTGCTGCCTTCCATCGAGGAGAAAATCATATTTTTAGGGTTTTTTTTTAACTTGTCATTTGTTTTCACTTTCATGTGCATCTGTTTTTCCCTCTTTATTTTCAGTTTTCTCAGCATTTATTTACTGAATGCCCACTGAACGATAGTCATTGTGGTAAACATTTTTCAGTCTTTTTTATTTTATTGTATTTTATTAACCTTAAAACAAACTTATAAACACACCAGTCCCATTCTCCAGATGGAAAAATTGAGGCTTAGATAGGAAAATAGTAACTGCCCAAGGTTGCACAATGGGCAGAGATTCAAAGCTGAATCCACCCGTCCCAAACTGCTCTCAAACCCTACACGTTAGGATCCTTCACAGTGCTTCTCTGAGCATTTTCCCACCCTGATCTCAAAAGTTACATTGGTATTTTCCTGTTAACATCAACCTACGTGTGATTGAAGTATTTGTACCTCATTTTCTTCTATTCCATTATATCACTCCCGTACATTCCCTCTATCCTGTGAGTCATTCGACTTTCACTAATTGTGTTTAGTTACCATTTGTGTTGAGATGAATATCTTACCTAGTTGGTCTTAATTTTGACCCATTTCATATCGACCCATCAAAACACATTCGTGTGAGCCATGGGGGACCCTGCCAAAAGAATGAAAAATAATTCCCTTTGGGCAAGAGTTATGCATGAGAAAACAGAGTTTGATTTCATCACTCTCCTGCAAAAACTTCCACTGGGTTCTTTTTACTGATTTCGTCAATTCTGTTGCATGTTAATTGGGAACCATTCCTTTGGGGGTCTAGACACCATTTCCAAGCCTATTTCTTTCATGCTCCCTAACATAAATTCCTCCATGACCCTCACCTGTCTGTCTCCATGATTAGCCTATTCTTTCCAACCATAGGAAGCATGTACTATTCATTCCAATATGCTGTTTGGTGAACTGTATTCACTAGTCTGCATGAAATGTTTTCTTCTCTGTAACTCAAATAAGCCAGATCTTTTTATTTATCCACATTGTTTCTCTGGCTGGACTGTCATTACACTTCTCTGCTATCCAAACATGACCCATTACTACTAATAACCAGAGCATATGAAGCATGTTCATCTATGTTATCTCACGCAATTCTCACAGTATCCCTCTGAGAAAAATATAATTAAGCCTTTTTATTTTTCAGATGAGACTTGTAGAAGCTAGGTGACTGGCCCAGGGACTGCCAAATGAATGAAGGCTCTTGTTGGCTTTCTGACACATTTATTCTGATTCTGAAGTCCACCTTTTATGATTCTTTCATGCTGCCTCACCTTGGCCCCATCTGCACCATGATACCTTTGCCTCTAACCATCTGCTCCTCTAGACTTCCGCGCCCCTTGATGATTAAGACAGGTGTCGTCTTCAGGCCACCAATATCGTGACTGCATGAACAACCAAAGAAGCAGACAAAGTAAAACAGCATGCATGTTTTGCAAACACACATTAAAAACAAGTCCCCTCCTCTCCTATTTTCTCTCACTCTCACCTTTTAATCACGCCCCCCTTTTAAGACATTCTGGCAACGCCAGAGCCTGTCTTGTCTTACTGTGCGAGTGGCATCTAACACACACCACCTGGCAGGGGACGATCTGGTCCTTCCTCTCCCTTTTCTCTGTGCTTTACCTGAAGAAGAGGGGAGACAACATATCTCCAAATGTGGCAACTGGGGGAGGATCTGCACTTGAAGGCTTTAATAGAAGTTGAATTTACTGACTACTTACCATATGCTAGAGATGGTTCTAATGATATTCTGTGTATTGAGTCACTTAACCCCCACAGCAACTCCAAGAGGTGATGTACTATGTGTGCCCCATCTTCCAGATGAAGAAACTAAAGCACAAGTATTAAAAAAAAATTGTCCAGCGGCAAAGCTAGTGTGAGACTCGGAATACATAGCAAGACTGTTCTACCCCATAGTCTGGGCTCTATGACTCTGTGTTTAAGATAGGCTAGAATTGGGGGAAATAAAGCAAAGCAAAACAAAACAAAACAACAACAACAACAGCAACAACAACAACAACAAAAACAAGCAAGATGTCAGCTTGAAGAATGGCGTAGAGCTCTAGACAAATGGACTTTATTCCTTTGGGAAAAGTCAGGGAGGGGTAGAAAGTGTCGGCAGCCCTATGGCAGCAAAGTCCCATATGCAAGGAAATCAAGCTTGTGTAAGCAACATTGGTCTGAGGACATTCTGAGCCAACTGTCCCATTAGCAGCACTAATAATAATACCATCCACCATTCATTGACTAATTCCTATGACTCTCAGTGTTTCCCTACTATCTGTGAATAAAGCCCCAGAGCCTTCGTGAGGCCCTCAAGAAGCTTCACGATTCAAGGCCTGCCCACTTTTTCAGACACCTCTCCCATCTTGTCCACCTTCATGCTGTAAGCTCTAATAAAAACACAGGGTTCCCCTGTACCCTAAAGTTTGAGGGCATGACTTATAGTCTTCTTTTGCCTGGAAAGACCTTCATGCTCTCTGTGCCTGAACAACTGAGCCTCAATTCAGCTATAATCCATTCCAGGATATCTCCTCTGGGCATGTGAGTTAAAGGTGAGATTTCTTTCCTCTGGCCTCTAGAGTACCAAATCCTCACATATGTATGGATCTTTACCTATTCTAAGGACCTCCTCAGTTTGTTTTATCTGTCATTAACCAAGTAGCAAGGCCCTTGAGAGCAAATCTGCCATAGTCACTTTGGTGTCCTGGCATCTAGCACAGCACCTAACACATGCAACGTGTCACAGAAAGGGACGGAATTGTGTAGCAGACCCTAGTATGGTATCTTGAATCTACCTCTAATCATAACATGGCCTCATGAATTGGACATTGCCAGGCTGACTTTACACATGAAGAAACTTAAGCTCAGAGAAATACAATAATGTATTCAAAATTGCATCCAATAGTCAATGCATATAATAAGGAAGTGAGAGACACGGAAAGGACCCAAGCATAGCGCTGTTCAGAGTCTGGCATTGGTTCCCAGGTCAGCACACGGCACCACACTGACCGTCTCCACACAAGTGAGGTGACGGTTGAAGTTTGGGAAACTGGGCAAAAGAACCAAAAATCATGACAGTGAATGGAGCTGACACACAGAATAAGAGGGCAGCTTTAGAAAGGAAATACCTTGGGCCTTCCCTTGTCCTCACCCACAGCTTAACTAGAAGGGGGTTGGCCCATAGAACTTGGCCACGCCTAAATTACAGTCATAAGGAGGTGAGAGAGCCCTGGGGTGGGTCACATTAATGATGTTCCTCATGAGAATGAAAATAATCACAACTAGCATTTCTGATCACTTACTCTGACATTGATGGTTTTAAATGCTTTACATGTATGACAGTTCTCTTTCACAATGCAGGCACCATCTTTATTTATTAAATGAGAAAACCAAGGGAAATTAAGTAATTTGCTGAAATTCTTGCATGTGAAGTGAAAGAACCAGATTCCCAAACTCAGACTGTCTGACTTCAGATCTTAAACTCATGACGGGAATCCTACACTCTGTGATGAGGGTTGACCTCTAAGGAGGTGCTGACTCCAAGGTATGTCAGAATCCCAGACAAGGGCAGACAAAGGATGATACAACCAGACAAAGCTGGATGTATTTGAGGTGGATTAGGAACAATTTGCACTGGGACTTTCTAGCATCTATTGCAACTTCCTTTTAACATGCACTTTACCCTGGGTGGGAGTAGGTGCTACAGAACAAATCCAGATAAGGCATTACTCTGATTGTAGAACAGGTGCCAAAGTTTAATTTGAAAGCTTATTTAATTCATCAATTCACTCACCCCTGTCCTTATAAACCCATGGACTGGAATGTGGGACTGTGCCAATACACCCCTAATATTTGAACCAAGACAGAAGTAGCACGTCAATGTTATTATCAACATGGAGTACTTACATGACCACCTCACGCTGATCACTTCTTTGAGGCCTTTTAGCAAATAGAATTAGGTTGATTTTATTAGACGTGTGCTTTGACATGGATCAGTAGTCTGTCTCAAACCAAGCATACCTCCCTTATGCCTTCTCTCTCTCACGAGCTAATGGGGTCCCTGGCAGCATATCCTTGTCAGACCACCACCAGCTCCAGAAGTGCTTACTTGTGTCTTCTTGGACCCACAGCACATGTTAAAGCCAACTATGACCTCCATGTAAACTGAACCCTTTCTAAAAACCGAGGCTTCCAGATCTTTGCCACCACCACCCAAGCCAGAATTAAATATCAAGGGAACAAAGTGCGCTGTACTTTTTAGAAGTCATCTTTGAGTTCACTTTTGCAAATATTAAAAACAATGCCACAGGCACAGAAACAAATCCAAATCTGCTGGGCGACTTTGCAATGAAATAAAAAGTAAGTAAACCTCTGCCTGAAACAAATGAAGAAAGTCCTGGCAAAAATTACTGAAGAATAAAATAGAGAGATTTTAATCATCCTCAGGGGATAATTATATCCTCGACTCTGGCTGAGTTGGCAGGTGACAAGAGCACAAAGCAATCAGCGAAGCGACCAGGGTCTTCATCCTGAGTCTGTCCATTCACTGGATTTGGGGTTGCACCTCAGACAAGCCACTCAGACACTTTGGGGTCCAGTTACTCTACTGCTGCACAGAAATGGCTAACACCAACAGAAGTCACAGAAGTGGACCTGAAAGCCTGAGAAAGCAACTGTTCTGTCTCTGCCTCTCTATTCTCATGGTGTTCATTCAAATAGGGAACTCCTTGAACTCCTCCTTGACCTCCCCACTCCTTGGTGCCAAGATGGTGTCTTCTTCTGATGGGAGTTGATCTCTCCATTGGTGCTCTGGAAATGGGCTCTCATTCCCTTGGGGGAAATCTAGCCTGGGAAACTCACTGAACTTCTCTGAAATGCAGACTGACTAGCTATGAATTTGGGTTTAGGGGCACCTGGGTAGCTCAGTCAGTTGAGCGTTCGACTCTTGATTTCAGCTTAGATCATGATTCCAGGGTCGTGGGATCAAGCCTGGCATCTGTGGAGCCTGCTTAAGATTCTCTCTCTCTCCCTCTGCCTCCCTCCACCCCCAGTCAAATAAAAAATAAAATTAAATTAAAATATTACCTACTTCACAACTCTGTTTTAATGATAAATGAGATAAATCAGGTAAGGCACTTGAAACAGTGACTGGCACGTTCAAAGCTAACGGTAAATGTTAGCTCTTGTTATGTCTGGTGCTTATTTCTCTACATATAAGAAATTTCCAGGTGTCTATCATCTTAAATATGCATATATAATATAAATATACTATAATATATATATACATATAATTTAACTATTATATGTTATTATTACTAAAGCATAATCTATGAGTTTTTTTCCAGATTTCACCTGTAAGTGAGATCATACAGTATTTGTCTTTCTCTGTCCAACTTAACTTCACTTCGCATAGCTTGTTGTGGTAATCATTTTACGTGTGACGTCAAGTCATTGTGCTGTACACCTCAAAGTTTTACAGTGATATATATCAGTTACATCTCAATAAAACTGAAGAAAAACTTGAGTGAATCATAATAATAAATATTAAGTATATATATCTTCACTTCTTTGGACACTTATCCTCCTCTAGCTTCTAGCGACCTCATTTCTCGGCTTTCTGGGATAGCTGAACTTGTTGACCAGAGGCTCAGCATTGGCCATCTTCACAAATTTTTGTCTATTTTTTCAAAGAAAAACAAAAATATAATGAACCCCATGTAATTCTTCCTCATCTTTATCAATTATCCACTCATGTTTCATTTACCTCACCAATTTCCCATCTTCCACATCATTTTGAAGCAAATTACTGGCATACATTATATAATCTATCCCCAAATGCCTGTAGGTGCCTTCGAGAGGTTTATTGATTTTAGTTTTTGAGTTTCCATTGACTCCTCTACAAGGATACCTTTGTCCACTCCAGACATAGACGTGATGAACAGATTGGTGGACCTTTCTCAATTCTCTGGGGAATATTGCTTGACCACCTTTCTCAGGCATGTGACTTAGCCATTCTGTCTCAATTGCTCCCATTTTATTAAAAGTTTTGTTTTTGTTTTTAAGCAAGGTAGCTATGACTTCCACATTGTCCAATCTGATGGTAATTTTTCAGTACTAACTGTACTTGATTTTCTGAGGGCCTTGGATATTTTATGGTGAGATAAAGCTAAACTAATATTAGCATCTGAGATGAGTTAACCTGGCCTTGTTAACATTTACTTTTTCAATCTTTAAAATGGGGGAAAGTTATATTATAAAGCATCATGTAACATAATTCATGGCATATAGTAAGTACTTATATGAGAAGTACTAACTATATGAGAAGTAGGATTA